ACTATTTTCTAAAATCATGTACATTTATAGGACACAGATGATTTTGCAGGTCTCAGCCAAAGGAATTACTCAAATGTCAAAAGTTTAAGCTACTGGTAAAAAAAATAATGTAAAGCTGAAGAACATGCCACAAAAATGCTTTTCCTTTTAAATAACCATAAATCTAACTTTAACAGTGCACAAAACTAAACTTAAAACCAGTGGACTACTGAGAATCAGAACCTTTGGAAGAGTTTTATCTTCTTTAAATTGCTTGACTGAAACTGCTTAAGTCATTATGAAGAAGAAAGTATACACAAAATAGCACAGGGGTAGGCAAAATACAGCCCATGGGCTGGATCCAGTCCACCAATTGATTTTATCCAGCCTGTGGGTGGGTGGCAGCACTGTGCAGCAGGCTATCGGAGTGCCGTACTCAGACCCCTGCCTCTGCTGATGGGCAGTGGCTCTGGCCCCTGCTGGCACCATGGGAGACAGTGGGTGGCAGCACCCCACCCACCCAGCACCACATGGTGCCAGCCCACAGTGCTCACCAGCAGAGGTGAGGGCCCAAGTAAGGTGGTGGGCAGGCAGACAGAGCTACTTCTGCTCAATGTTCTCCGTGGCACCTGGAAGGTGCAGTCTAGCCCTGCAAGCCCTGAGCAAGCTATGCTTGGTTCCCAGTCTCTGCTTGTAGGCAGCACCCAGAGCCTCCAGGGCTGGGCTGCATCTCCTGGGCACCATAGGCGATGATGGCCAGAAGCAGCCTCACCCATCCAGCACCACGCAGTAGACCCTGGGTGAGCCATACCCAGGCCCTGGTGGCTCTGGCCCACAGCCACTGTGCGGAGCTGAGCAGGTGGCCAGGGTTGCTTCTACCCAGCAGCTGCTGGGGCCCAAGTGTGGCTCATCCAGCCCCTGCCCATGAGGTATGGAGCCTGGCCACAGGCCTCCATGCTGTCCCATCCCATCCCACCATCAGGGTTCTTAGGAGCTGAGGAGTGGGGGGTGAGATGGTGGGGTGAGACAGCTTGGAGGCCTCTGGCCAGGTTTTATCCCCACCCCCGCAGCTACGGACACAGCTGACAAGTCCTGGCTCCAGGCGGGGTGGAGGTAGGGCAGGCAGGCTGGGCAGCACATGCACATGTATGTGTGCATGGCCCTCAACAGCTCACCAAAATTCATTAAGTGGCCCTCCAGTGCAAATAAATACCCACCCCTGAAATAGCAACATAGCATTAGAAACTGTTACTAAGTCTACCAGTGCTATTAGAACAAATATACTGCACAAGTGGTTCATTTTTACCAAACACTAGCAGACCAAGAATCCTGAGGAAGACTACATAAATCTTACCTTTGCAATTTTTCTTTACCAACTTTCCCCCTCTCTTGGTTTGTTCTTTGTTACCAACTGTTCTCTAGGTTCCATTATTTTTCTCTCCTCCTCCTCCCCCAGTTTCCATTTTCTTCCATACTCACCATACTGCATTTCTATTACAGCCTGAGTTGGATTTTTTCCCAGATCCTGTAACATCTCTTTACCTCTTCTATTGTCTACTCAACACTCCCTAACCCTAGTCCCACACTTTAGTCTCCTTTCACTAAGAGCAGAGAGACTAAATGAATAGCTGAAAAGAGCAGAGGTGTAGTAGGCCTTGATTACTTTGTAAGTTGGTCAAGAGCAGTAGTACTGAGGGGAAGCATAATGCCTGAGCTCCAAGTGAACACCAAGTAGAAGATCCCTTCTCATCCCTGTATCTCTGAGGTAAATACTAGCCAGCCTTGTAAGAATGAGCTTTGATATTACATTTCACTGCACATATACTGTTGACATCCATATGACAGAACAAGCAGTGGAAAGGTTCTGCATAGTAGAAAGGTTGGGGGTCGGACTAGATGACCTAGTCAGGTCCCTTCCGACCCTAGAAACTAGAAACTATGAAAAAAGCAATTGCTGCCCATCCAAAAATTGCATTCCTCAAAGAAGTTCATAAAAATAAAAGCCAATTAAGTTCATACGCGTAAAAGTTCATCTGGTTTGGTCCAGGTTTGTGACTTCTGAGGCCTAGCCTTCTCAAAAGCTCTATGTGGCCCATCTTCCTGATCACCTACTCTTATAGCCTTTTCCTAAGCAAAGGAAGGGAAAAGATGGGCTGGAACTAACTTGAATCTGTTCACAGGTTGGTGGGTCATTCTTCCACACTGGGGAAAGTGCCCAGTACTAGACAGAATTTCAGGACTGTTCGCATGTGAAATACTTCATCCTCTAGTGACTGCAGCCCATGAAAACCCTAATCCTATGATGTATGCAAGAATGTTGCACTCATGATTATGTGCAACTACATATTTTAAAGTCAACACACTATTTTTTCCCATCTCTGGTAACACTCAAATGACTCACATTCTTAGTCATGACAAAAATCTCTTACAACCATAGGATCAAATCTTGGTCGTCTTATTCATGTAAGAAGAGCCTATTTATCATATTCACTGAGGCAACCAACATTTTGCCCATATTTAATTTTGTTCATTTTTTTTAGGGGAAGGGAAGGGCATATTTACAAGATAGATACTTGTATGTTATTTTGCTCATTTCATCAGAATCTCTCAGAAAACTGAACATAAGCTGTGCCATGCCATTTTCAATCTGTAAAATTTTGGAAGAAAAACTATCCTAAAAAGAAAAATTATACTGAGAGATGATACTTGAAAGATGTAGGCAAGTGCATATCCAGTCCACACATTGACTCAGGCATTTTAAATATAATAGCCTCTCCTCTCCCATCTGTTCTATATTTCTGTAAAAAGTTGCAGTATCAGACTAGGAAGACTAAGTATTCTAATTATTTTAAAATGAGCTCAAGACTACAGATATAGCTTATACTAGTTAAACCTGTGAAAGAAGTACTTTGAAGGCTTATTTGCTTTTAGAATAGATTAAAAATTTTAAGTGTTATGGTGATGGATCAAACAAGGAATACTGCAAACGACAACTTTGTACTAAGGTATAAATAAAAGCAGTACTTGGTAGGATTAAAGTTTTGAGGGCAAATTTTTAAGGTGTAGCTTGTTACATGATTATCCTCTAAGGACTAATTATATGATTATCTTGATCCATTTGTTAATCCACATCCCTGTACCCATAGTATGAAAAGGTAAAGTATGTGTGGATGGTATTACATGCAAGAGAATCTAATAACTGTCATTGTCTCACACAAATTATCCCAAAAGCCTCAGGTACATAATGCACATCCAAGGGAATGATTGGAGATTTCATTCTCCAATAGTTAAAATGGAATAAGATATTCTTTAGTCATCATTATGCCTTAAAAGTTCTATTTCTCTATTCATCTGAATATGTTACTAAAATAAGATATTAAAATCAAGTCATTCTTTATTCCTTTTCCTCTTTTAAAAATTGAATTCTCCCCAGATGAAATTAAGTTAACTAGCTCTGTGGAAAAACAAATAATTTCCACATGCATGATTAAAACTTAGCTGGTTTTCTTGCAGTGGGAATTATTGGATGCATCATAAGAACAGAGGAATAAGAACATAACCGCAGGCATCTGTATATTTTCGTACTAATATAAACTCCATATATTAGGGTGTCTCATCGTATCCCTAGTGCTCTCAAGGCTGCCACTCCTGCTCAAGTGGGCCAAACGCAGAAATGTGCCTGTGAACATGTTCTGGAGCAGCAGTTGACAAAGTTTTCTAGCAGTGGGCAGGAATGATGCAGCTCTGGTCCAAAGAGGCCCACCACTAGGACCTGGCTGCTGTCATTGCCACTGCTTCTCCTTGTCACCCAGCTGTGGTACAAGCAAAGCCGTCTGCTGCCCACCCACTTGCTGGAATGCCACTGACAACTCCACTGCCAGAATTCAACTGAAGCCCCCTAGTTCTGCAGGCTGTATCCAATGGCTCCACAGGCTGGATCTAGCCTGTAGTCAGTCAATGTTGCTAACTACTGCTCTGGAGTGTTTCCCACTGCTACTCTCAATATCAGTCTCCAGCTTACCTGCATGAAGCTGCAGGAACCCCTATAACAGTCACATTGCCACCTCTCTGAGTCTGGAGTGTGCAAGCAAGATTAGGTAGTCAAAGCCATGATCTCCATCAGCAACTACAAGAGTCCAAGAACACTATGCAGACATTCCCTTAGTTAGCCCACCAATGTGGTACTAGAGGAGCAGGTTTTCAAAAGCAATGCGAACTTGTTATTGGTGACACAGTCAACAGTTTTTTGATAGCACCTTGTGCTACTTGCTACCAACTTTGGCAAAGAAATAAGCTCAAGATATGCACCAAGGGCTTTTATGGTATCTTTTATTGGACTAACTGCATAGTTGGGAGAGATGTTGAAAAGGTTTTCAGGCACCAAATGCCCTCCTTCAGGTCATCTTTTGAAAAAGGGCACTTGGTGCCCAAAAGGGACAAGAAGACCTGCTGTTTCTCCTGCTAAGTCACTCTCAGCTATGCAAATAATCCACCACAAAGGATCCCGTGATCCATTTCCTGGAACATTATGGCTACAACACTCAGACCGTACTACTTCTGTTACCAGGTCTGTGACTGACCCAACAGTCAAAAGGTTTCACCTCAGTTCTCATTTCCCACCTTACATCTTGTCTTTTGTTCATTACTGAGTGTAAAGCCATTCGCATGAAGGAATTGTTACTTATTACGAGTTTGCAGAGTATTTAGGACAATGGGCACATTAGTAGTACCAGAATAATACAATATTAAAATATCTGCATCAAGGCAAGGACAAAATTGCTGATTAGATAACACATTTAAGGATAAATTCGCTTGTCAAGAAAAGGCCAATCCACATCCCATCAAAGTCAATGGGAGTTAAACTGGGACTGGGCCCTTACACAGACATAAATTAGGAATGTTCCCAATTAAGTTGATGGACTTATGTAAGTATAAAACTAGTGTGAGGGGGAAAAAACAGGTGATTACAGTAACTGAGTCATACCCAAAACCAACTAGATTTTGTAGTGCAAAATATTTACTTGAGTTTTTATCTGGAAGTCTGTCTATCTTCCACACAACAGCCCTATAGGCACTTTCATATTTTGCTGTTCCAATTGAGACTTGTATTACAGGATCTGACTCAATTTCATGTAAAGAACCAAGGCATGTTCTTCTGTTCATTTTGGCTTTCAGAGACTTCTGCCTTTGGAGATTCATAGTCCAAAGTGCTTTGATCCACTGTGCAGGAACAGGAAAATGTATCATGACATTTTCACAGTATTTCATGGAATGCAAGCGGGTTGGAATCAGAGCAGTCGACGACATGTTTAGAAAAGCCTGAAGCTCTATATATGCTCCCTGAACAACTACGGCAGCCTTCACAGAAAATGGAAGGTCTTCTCCATTATACAGAGTCTTGAAACGCATCAGTTCTAACCTACAGGCGTCTGGGGGTGTAAACTTAATAACTCTTGTTTGCTCAAATTCATGTGTTTTGACACACTTATGGAAATGGTAGTCAAGAATATCAATCCATTTCTTTTCCAGGTCTTTCTCAAAATAACATTCATCTCTCTTCTGGAGCTCTTGATCATTTAAAGTTAAAAAGCATTCAGTATTTCCATTCACAAAGGACAGACAATAAACGTGTGTGATGACAGCACTTTCTACAAGTTTTCCTTCTGCTTTAGTGATTTTCCCCCAAAAATTGTCTACTATTTCTAATATTATTTCTTGTTCCTCATAATTTCTCTTTTGTTTAGAAAGGGCAGGAAGCTTCATCAGCTCTTCCTCAACTGTCGCAAGGAAGTCGGTTAAGTCATTAAACTCTGTAGTTCCTAACTTCAGCATCTGTTCAGTCTCTGGTTCATGGACCACTTCTACTTTGGGATGGTATTTTCTTTTTTCTATATAAGACACATGCTCAATCTTCACTGTATGGATTTTTCCTGAAATACTACAGTTTTCTAGCTTGGGCTCTGAGAGTTTACAGTGGGGTTGTAGCTGGAATTCTTTGAAAGGTTTTTCAAGGCCCTCTTCATAGTACATTTGTAAAATGCCCCCAGGTAAAACTTTAAGGTAAATAGGGCCCCACTGCCGAGATGACATCCTGTTTTTCTTTTCAGGAATTCTCAGCATGAAAGGCCAACCCTCCTTTTTCTGATTCCTGAACAGACTGTGTGGAATGACCGAACAGGGATGACACCATGTGTGTGTACTAGAGACAGACAGACCTCCCATCGCCTGAGCATCAGTTTGAAGATGTTCAAGCCTTTCACAAATATAGTTGAATGAACCCTGATTAAGGCTTTTCTGATCGTGGCAAATATGGCTTTGTGTATTAGCATGAGACGTGGAAATGCTGGGCAAACACCCTTCTTTCCAAAAGGGGCTAGAGAAAGCACAGTCACTCTGAAAATACTGGAAGCAGTCAGATTCCAAAGGCTCTTCTAACTTATTACAGCTTTCTTTCCAAGTAGGATTTACTTCATCTGTGGCTGTTGACTTGGAGACCAAAAGCTTAGATGGATTATCATTAGCTGCAGCTTTCAAAGGCATACTGCCCAGTTTTTGAGAAGAGCAGGTTCCAGGAGGTGGGAGAAGGTTAATATTTGATGAGAATTCAGGAATGGGATAAAGTATATGAACCCCTGATTTGGGAATGCAGGGAATTCCTGGATAGTCTCTGGTAGGTGTAGAAAGCGGTGAGTTACTAGGAGGTCCCGGACTGAAATAAAAGTCAACCATAGGAGAAGAAAGTGGAGTGCTGCCCGTAGAAGATGACCTACTGGAAGATTCATGTGCATTAGGAAGATTGAGCTTGAGACCATTTGCTTTACTATTATTTTCAACTGATTTTGGAGGAGATGGGAAGAGGGGCTCATCATCAAAAGTGACCCAGTTTGCTGGGTTTGTGGAACACATCTTGTAGAAACAAACTCGAAGCACTTGTACAAATATCACCCGCGAGTCATCTATTAAAAAAAGAACAAAAAAAGAACAGACATGATCAGAAATAAAAAGGATGATTTTTGCAAAAACAAACAAAAACAAAACAAAAACCAAAAGAAAACATAATTATATTACTCAAATGATATAAGACCTAGATTTTTATCATCATAAGGTATTTGCCTATGTATCTGATACTTTTGTATCTGATACATTTGCTTATGTATCTGATACTAAAAAGAATAACCCCACAAGAAATCCTAAAACAAACAAACCCTACAAACGCTCATCGTTTCTCAGTGTCACA